ATATCCTATTACGGGGTTTTCAAACCAAAAAGTATCTAACATCAATGTTACTTTTTATTCTTATTAGTATGATAACCTTATTCATTCCAGTCACAATATTACAGTTCTTATTTATTTGTGAACCCCTTATGTAATTAAATGCCACTTTCATAAAAAAATATTAAACATATATGGAAGTAAATAACGTACAAAGATACCAAACTTTAAGTTTTAGTTTAGAATGGAGCAACTCTTTAATTCTGTGCCCCTTTGATATTGCGGCTTGGGACGAATATTGATCGGTCTCCTTGACTACGAATGTAAAATGTTTATTATTCTCAAACTATAATAATTATATTTTACAATTTTACACAGCGATTCAAAAAAATAAAGAGCACATATCATAAACTGAGTAAATAAATTAAAATTAAATAAATTAATTTGTTGGATTGCTAGGTTAAAAGTACATAATAATAGATTGAAATTCCGCCGAAACTTAAATAAAAATCAAATCAAATCAAAAAATTCAGAATTAGTTTGAAAATAAAACCTGAGTTCACTTTATATTAATTTTACAGTCGAAATAAACTGTAACTTACTGAACAATGGCATCGATACTATAACATTCCTGATTTGTTTAGAGGTTAACATCTCTTTTGTCATCATCGGCAACATCAAAGAGAGATAGGACCATAAACGAGGGGAAATCCCATACACTGGCTCAGGAATTTAATTATCAGCAGGTTCAGCAGCAGCAGTCGACAAATACAGCTGACGCAGAGGTAGACGAATGTTAACTGTTGTGAAATTAAATGAAATACGTGAAATAAGTTTATTCATCCCAATATAATTACATATAGATAATAGAACAGAAAGCAAGATTAATTAGTACAAATTGTATTATTTAACATCACACATGAATCATAGATCAATAATTTATTTATGGCGTTTAAGTGATTATTGTGACATTTCCCACGATTAGTAAAAAAGTTTTATGATGTTGAAATTAAATAAGATTTTACGAAATGAACCTTTTAACTAATGTCTTTTATTTTATTCATAGTTAATTGTTATCCATAAGAATTTTGTGCATCTGCTTTGCCATGAAAAAATTGGGCTAACCATTGGAATACACAGTAGGTAAATAAATATCATTCTCCAAGAAGGCAAACTAAAGTGAGAGTTAGTCTTTCTTTAGTTTAATAAGTGTTAGGGTTTTTTAATTTCACCAACATGAATCCTAGTTTCACAAAGTTTAACTAAATATGCATGTATTTGTAAACCTTTGCTTGTCCTCCAGTATTAAAATTAAACGGGAAAACACGTTTTATAATTTACCGGAAAAGACAAACAAAATGTATTTGCCATCGACGCCTTTATGCCTTGGCCATACACCAAAACAAGCTTTAGATTTTACCAATAACAGGATGAAAAGTCTACTTGCAGTTCCAAAGTTACCTGTATCTATAGTACATAACGTTAATACATCGTTCGTTTCGGGTCCACATAGTTTTCTATTTTAAAAACGTTAAAAACTCTATCGACTTTCAAATTTACTAATTGTTCGCCTATTAATATATAGTTGAACCTACAGTATATCCGGGTGAAAATGTACGAATACAATTTACGTTAAAACGCTAAATGGGTCAGATTCTCGAATATTTGGACAAGTAATGCTAACTGGCATAATAAATAAGTCTTCGAGCACTTTAATTGGCATTTGGCTTGCACCAACTCTGTAACATTTCAAAAGGCGATATTAATCGAGATCGTTTTCTACTAGCCATACAGCTGTCATTATACAGTTGGAAACTGAGTAGAAATAATCGATCACAATTGTTGAATCTTAAAGTATTTATCGTCTTGCAAAAATTTACATTACTGTAAAAGGCAATGCCGTTGGCCTATAGGAATTGTACGTACTATAATGGTCGAAAAGTAATTAATTAACAAAGTATGCAAAGATATCCGTTATAAATACTCTACGTTTTCTCACCGACTGCAACCTTCAGATTTCAAATCCCTAGGTGTTACCATCACATCGATGGGTGTTACAATCTTGGTGATGTATTTTGTGAATAACATATTGTATGAAACCATTGACTATTGTATGCTGAAGACGAAACTCACTCGTAGAGAAGTTCTCGTTGGCTCCAGCGTGTTATTCTTCTCCTTTTTACCAAATACATTTCTGGATATAGTATATAGCCCATCTTGTGTTCTTGTAATAGTAATTCAATCAATAATTTTATTTTCAAATGTCTTGTTCAAATGCTGTTAAACCGCTAACCAAATTGTTTAAACAATTATTGTTCGCCGTGGGAATAATGAACAAAACACACCTCTTTGGTAAATATGTCGGCCATGTAAAAATGTTAATGTATCACTAGCTTACAGCACTTAGATCATGTGACATTGCTTTCATGGTGCTTGCTAAAATAAAATTTCTGTATGTTTCCTATTTAATTAGCCCTGGGCAGGCAGGTAAGCCAGGCCCTACTATAAATAGTTTTTTTTATTATTTTTTTTAATAACAGCTAAATGTGCTAATAAAACCACAGGCATCATTGCACATTAAATATTTCATTTTATTACCTACTATATTAACCTGTTTTTTTTAAAGCAGATTTGTTTTACATTAAGCTATGTAGTAAAAATGTGTAATTGTGTTTTTTAGGCTATAGTAGTTTTTTCAATTAAATATTTTTCACAGCTTGCAAAGTATTAATGTAGTATAAAATGATACATGATTATTACAGTTCTAATCAGATACGAAAAACACCACTCAGGAAAGTATAATGTTAAACGCTTTTAATGAACAAAATTAATTTTATTATACAACAAGAAATACATAGTATTCACTGTACAAAATTAACCCTACTGCTAGACTAATATATACAAAAGAAATACTGCCACTCTATATAATACAATAAGTTAAACAGCTATCCAACGCAATAGAAAGCTGCTAAACTGCAGATAACTAAATCAAACACCCTAACTTAAATCTAAAAATAAATAACAAGGTATCACAGGTTTCGCTGTTAATTTACTATACCATGTAGGTTTAAACTGCGTGTTATTCTGTCAAAGCCCAATACATATTACAGTACTAATACTACTACTTTGTAAATTCACATTTTTAATAAAAACAGATTTAATTCACCATGGGTTTCAAAACGAGTGATTAGAAATTGTTTTATGGATAACAAGTAGATTTTTCATAAAAAATACTTTTCTCAAGATTTGGACCCAGTGTTGATTTAAAAGGCAAATATGTGTACAACTTACTATTCTTAGATGACAATAGGTACTTCACTGTGGTATGAGTTGAATAAAATCTAAAATTGGTATAGGCTCATTTAGTACTTAAAATTGGGTTTTACAGTATCTTTTTATTTTGATGTTTAAGGAGTCGTTTTTAGCATACATTAAATAAATAATAATAAAAAAAACTATTTCACAGCCTTTAAATTTGAAACAAATATTATACAACTTATAATGTTAAGGTAAATTAAAACTAGATTAAGAAAGGAAAATATTTTGGTTATTGCCACAGTTTTAATGACAAGAGATCCTAATATTTGCAAAAGTAGTTAATCTGAAAATAAAGATCAAAAGCACATTGAAGCTAAATTGATTTGTAACATACATATTGCACATTCGGACCCTATACTTGATCTTTGGCTTAAATCATGTCATATTTATAAGTTAAGTTACGGTACAAAATTAATAGTCTAGTGGTCTAGACATGCGGTCATGGATCGTCTATATACAAAATGTGACACTACACAAATGTACCAAGAAGCTAATTATCTTGGAAGAAAATTTAATTGAATACAAAAAATCTGCGAAATGATTACAAACTCAAGATATTTTTTCGACCTTGTTCTACCTAGGCATAATAGCAGTTTTTTTCTTCAATTAAAACACTATTATTATATTTGTTGAAGGATAGTAAGCATTAGGTGAAGAGGTTTCTATCAAACCCGTAATTAGTTGTCACACTTCTTGCATTTAGGTGATTCTCGAACTTCTTTCAATGGCTCATGGGCCTGCAGAGGTTCCAACCCCGACATTGCAAAATTGTTCAGATTAAGCTGACTAGAGTATCAGTTTAATTATATCTCCTTAATACCATCTCAAAATCTGGCATAAGAATTGGACAAAAATTATAAAATACCTCTTTCACACTTCTTCGTCCTCTTCCACGATAGGGAGCGAACTTTGATGCAAGGTCGGTGAACTGCGGGAAGTGAAGGCGACGATCCAGTCATCCAGATCCATGGGGTTCTCTGGGATGAAGGTTAGGCACATAGGGGTGTCAAATCCTCTCTGGCGAATCAAGAAACCGGGCTGTTTGGTCTCAGCAGGAAGACGCTCCACATGGGTACTTCTCAAATTTAAAACTCCTAGGGGACGGCACACTTTCTTCTGGGGACAGACGACAGCAAAATGTTCCAAAGACGTGCGGTAGACCTTAACGTGAACTGGTTGACGATGCTTACCGGGCCCCAAGAGAATCATGTATCCACTCATCATCTCCGGATTAGGATGGTTTTGGCATCCGTAGTCCATTTCCTTCTGAAGAAAAGGAGATCGGCTGCAACTAGCTACTTCAGCTGGCATCTTGAATAAACGAAATAAGTCAAACACTGGCAACACTAATAACCAAAGCACTCAACTTTAACAATTACTCTGGTGTAAATGTTAAACACTCCGTAAGTTGTCAAGCGACAAGTGAATAGCCAACGGTGTCTGTACGTCTGCACTGGACTGGCGACGATCAGACTGTACTACCGCCTCAGGAGTTCCCTTCACTTTTATAGATCACAACGTTGCAGTTGCGCTTACTTGGAAATCACATGTACAGCGGAATGAAGCGCCGTGCCATCTATCAAAGAAACTCAGAACTACTGCTAACACTGCTGCTGTGGCGCGCTCGCTACATCATAGCGTTGGTTTTCGGAACTGCAATCCCTTTTTTTGGCACTCCTTGACTCCTTCCTTCCCCTCCCCCCCACACTTGACTTCGTGTTATTTACCTAATCAACTTCGTCAGCTGTTCAATCTCGTAATAAATTCTTCCTGTTTGTCAAGCAGATGGAAAATATCCAGAATATTGACAATCATGGCTATTAGTGTAATGATTTCTTCTAGAACACGTAAGTTACAAGTTACAAATTTAGCCTTTTCATGAAATTTATGTTGCATAACCTATTTGTGTACCCAAACTAGGCCTAAACAATTTAAGATAAATTAATTTCTCTGACTTTAACACAGAAATGTGACTAAATTATGGCACATTTAAATGACAAGAACTAGCCATAACCTAAAATATGTTGATCTGCATTTAAATTAATTTCTCTGACATTAACACACAAATGTGACTACATTATGGCACATTTAAATGACAAGAACTAGCCATAACCAAAAATATGTTGATCTGCATTTTTTTTTTAATGCTTTGCCAATTAACTTAATTTTCCCTATTGTTTGTGTCACAGGCATAACTTATGCTAACCACAGAGAAGTAAGAAACAGAGTATACATTCTATGGTGCACTTAATTGGTGCCTAGCACCAGTCACTGGTGTGTAGAGCAAATGATATTCGTTGTCCCCTTCCGCCTTTCCCCCCTTTCCATCACATAGGCCTACTTCAGCACTCACACGGAAGACGTTGTGCCCTACAACTGCTGTACAAATATGCTATGCATCACCGTTCTCTCTATTCCTTGCTCGATACTAGGCCTAGTTCATTTCCGCCCCAACATACCAGAGCCTAAAGGCGCATGGTTGCCCCATAAGCTTGTATCCTCTGTAACTTACTTCCCTGTGGGCTGATCAAGGGATTTTAAAAGCACTTTCTTATTAGCTTAAATCTTTTTTGTTTAGTTATAAGGCCTACCTAACTTATTTATAAGGTGTGTCTTTAACACTGGTTGAACAATGTTAGCTAACTTAGCATTTAGCTATTTGCCAGCACTCATTTGATGTTTGGTTTAGTGTGTACCGTGGACGCCTAGACAAAAGTCCTTAGAGTGAGGATGAGGGTAGCGCTTCGCCATTTTGGTTTGGCCATTTGGCCCAAATGTTCGCTCCATAAGCAAACTTTTATCTAGTGCAGAGAGAGCTGCTTTGTGTCGCAGCTTTGCAGTGTTACGTGATTTTGTGTTGCTATAGGCAACACAAAACCTAGGCATAACTTATGGCCTGGGCCATAACTTATGCATGCCTGTTAAATACTGAACACTTAATCTTAGCTACGTTACTTTATTCTAGCTAAATTAAGTAATTTTTGCTATATTTTAGTCCAGAAGTTTTGCCGGGTCACTGGCCAGAGATGCTTTGCCCAAGAAGCAGCATCTGGATCACAGACGTTTCCAAAGATCACCACCCACTATACTGTACATCCACGAGATAATGATCCACGATGGAAAGGTACCGTGGATAGACATTGTTTTCAATTAATAAGTTACATTTCCTTACTTCCTAACTGTTCAATTTACTATGTTCTCTATAGGCTACCTTATATAGGCTAGGTAAGTTTTAACTTAGATTTTACTCTTTGGTACGTAGTATTTTAATATTATTGCATTATCTAGTTCTTAGCGAATATCCCATAATGAAATAAGCAAATACCCTAGGTCTCTTAGTAAGACCTGGTACCGGGACCAACTATTTCGTTTTGGTGTCCCCAGTGGCATACTTATAACACCATCCATTTCAATTCTAATAAATATAACTTGAGCTATAAGTTATGTGTCCGTTAGTATGATAACCCAAGCAAAAATCATCCGATTTTGATGAAATTTGGTATAAACGTGTAAACATACGATTATTCAAACAAATTCGCGAATCAGTGTGGTCAGATTATTGAAACGGGATGGGGGGGGGGGGGGGGTTTATATTAGGTTTAACGACTACCTAGGTTCGCTACAAGGAAACTAATAAAGTGTGTTTTTTAGTAAAATATTAATTGAATAGTAGGCCTACCTATAAACAAGCAAACTACTACATTTTACAATATTCTCCATAACAAAAATAACATGGGGATTTTAAATTTAAAATTTTTTTGAATTTTTTCCGTTACCAATAACCGTACAAAAACACTTTGATATACTAGGCCTAAATTATTTATTCTTTTAAGCTCTTTAAAAATGTTTAGAGAGAGATCAGGAAATTTTATGTTTTAAGGGTCAAAAATGAGAAAAACCAATTTTTATCCCATAAAACCTCCCGTAAAACCCCGTTCCCATGGTCCGATCATGCTGGCTCGTGAACTCATTCAAGTTTATCCAACCTTTACCCTTCAAACCAAATTTCATCAAAAATTACTCAAGTTATCACGTTCAAACAGACATATATATATAAATCTTATACTGTACAGTGGAGTCCCAATAATCCGAACTTCAGTAATCCAAAAACAAAAAATCATAAAAAAAATTTTTTATAAAATTTTTTACCAGTACGTGCTGTCACTTATCGGGGAAAGTCGAAACTACTAGCACCGTAACGTGACGACATTAGGCCTAATGCAGTTTATTGTAGACACAAAAAGTGATGACCCAGTAGGTGCTGTCACCCATTGGGAAAAGCCGAAACTGCGTGTAACGACAGTTGGCTGTACCTTGTCGAAGTATTCTGTAGCGGCCGGGCGAGATAGAATTGTTGTACAGTATAAAGTATTTTTATTAAATTAGCCTAGTTTGCAATTTTTTTAGTAAACATTTTTCATTTTCGCCCCAGATTCCAATCCCGTAAATCACGGATGGATTTGATCTAGAAAGTAATAATGCCGCAATCCCTAGGTCTACCTAAAGTAATGTGAAAAACAATCCCGGACTTGTGTCTAGCATCCTAGGACAATTTTAAAATTTAAAATATTTTTAAAAATAAGAAAAAATAAAAATACCCCCGCCGCAGCAAACCTGCAGACTAAGCGAATTTCCATTTGATTTACACTGAAATGTCTACTTAAAAATATAACATTTATTCCCGATTTAAATAGAATTAGTTTAACAAGTACTTAGGTTTGCTGCATCAGGGAGGTAAAACTGTTTTTTTTTATGTTAATAGTTAGTAAGAAATAAAAACCTTTTTCAAATTTGATCAAAATATGTTCATAAACAAGCAAACTACAACAGTTTACTTGTTCTCCATAAGAATAAATGGAAATTTTAAATTTACAATTTTTTGGAATTTTCTCCGTAACCATTAGGCGCATAACAACGCTTCAATATACTAAATTATTTGTTTTTTTAAGCTCTACAAAATGGTTTGGAAAGAAATTGCTAAATTTTATGTTTTTTGGGTTAAAAATGCGAAAAACCTATTTTTACCCCATAAAACCCCCCGTAAACCCCCGTTCCCATGGTCCGATCATGCTGGATCGTGAACTCGTTCGAATAAACGTAGGTTTACACGTTTGTACCAAATTTCATCAAAATCGGATCATTTTTGCTCAAGTTATCGTGCTAACAGACACACATATATATATATATATATATATAAATATATAAATATATAAATATATAAATATATATATATATATGAATTTGAACGGATGGTGTTTTTGGTCTCTAGGGACCTCGAAACAAAAAAAAAAATCGGTCCCGCGTCCAGGTCTTACCATGAGTACTACGGTAATAGCTTATTCCCTATATGGGAAATTCGCTAAAAGTTTAATCCGATATATTCGGTAATACGAAATGGGTCCGGTGTAAATAAGGTATTAATATTTATCTAAAAAACACACATTATTACTGTTCCTCTAGCAGCTAACCTAGACACTCACGTTAAACCTAGGTTATAAACAAATCAGCCAAACGGAAATTCACTTATTGTGCATGTTTGCTGCGGGGGGAGTATTTTTTATCAACAAAGTCTGAGCATACATTTATTGCGTATGTTTCAGAGGTGAACATGGAAAGGTTTGCAGATGAAGCGGATGTACTTATTGTCGGAGGAGGTCCAGCTGGCATGTCGGCGGCCATTCAGCTGAAAAAAATGGCCCAGAAAGATAACAGGGAACTAAGGGTCTGCCTGGTTGAGAAATCATCTGAGATTGGTATGTAACTGTCAAAGTAGGGTACTTTGGTACTATACCGACCATACCTAATAATTATAACCTAACCTAAGGGTGGACTATGTTTTTGGTTAGGAAGATTTTGTTACTTAAAATAATTAAAATCTTATTTGAAAGTTGATTTATCGGTGTGGTTGGCATAATACCAAAGTACCGTACCGTAGTCTCAGTAATTTTGGGTAGCCGAGATGCGTTTGGGACGCTGTTTCATGGTTGGCTGTTGGCACTGTCAGGTTGGCAAAGCCAATTGCATATAGACAAGGCCAAGCCAATGGTGTGGGAATTTAAAAAAAATCACTTTAGTAAACGGTAAAAAATCACGGTGTAAACTAAAAAAAAAAAAATAAATAAAACCAATGGGAGTAAGTAGTGGGGGCTGCTAACCGCTGGCTTGAGTTGTGTCCTGGACAGTGCCTGCAGACATTGTGTGAAGAAATTCCAACTCACTTGAAGCCAGCAGTTGGTTTCGCCACTTGGCCGTGCCAACAGGGGCGTGTTGTGGCACACCTTTAGAACCAAGCACTTTATGGTTCCAAACTAGATCTTTATGTCCTTAATTATTGGCAGGCTATTATATAGGCCTAGGCCTACTGTTTTCGTAACAATAAGGTAGTGATTGAAGATTATTTTATTAACCTTCCTGCCATCTCTTACTTAGTGGGACACAAAATATCTGCTCTTCGCTCAACCCTATTTTAAACAGTAAAAAACATTTTACGATATTGTAAAAATAATAAAGCTATCAATTTGAATTGTTCTTGTATAAATACAGTACCTATACTAAACTAAAAAAATAAAGAAGTAGTGCCTGACTTTACCACAAAACCTTTTTGAAATCAATGATAACTTAAACTTTCTTTTCTTAAATAAGATTAATTGTCTGTCAGTAAAACATTGAGAGTCATGTCAAAACTTTAAATATTGCAAGAGGTTAGTTTTAAATATTAAATTTAGGCTTAATCTAATAATGTGAAATGATTATATGATCCATTAAGTTATCCAAGTTATTCATGGCAAAATTCATCAAACTCGAGTTAACTTAGGCCTACAAATTTCTAAACAATTAGGAAACTATAAGATGGTTTTACAAATTCCATTACAAACATTCTTTTGAAGAGGTCATGAACCTAGGGGTATTCTGCAAACATAGATTTAAAAAATATTTAGTTAAAGACTGTGAGAAGAAAACAATATTCAAGCTATCCAAATAGAGATAGCTAGAGATACCAATAATTGTCTAACAAACTAACTGTTGTGATAGGAATAGAGGGCAATGAGCAAAGTACAGGACAAGTGAAGGTATTGGGCAAGACGTTGAATAAAGCAAATACTGCTTGGAGACTGAATAAATATCAATGACTCTATTGATTCAAATACGGTAATATCTCAGTACTACCATCAAACTAATGGCGGGACAAAGTAGCCTATGTTAAACAAAAAATTAATGAACGATTTCACTTTTTTTATAGGCTTGCATATGCAGTTCATAATCAATGTTTTGTTATTCCTTTTAGATTTGTTAAAGTTGTTAAATTTAAAATTTTTATGACATTATTTGTTAAAATTTAAACAACCAATACAGAATTACATTTTCTGAAATAATATTTACAAAATTCTATTACGTGTTGGTTGTTGTTCTCTTTTCAGGGTTGTGCTAACAATTTGCAGCTGCACTAATAATTATTTACAAGGTCTCAAGTAAATATTCCAGCTATGATTAAGATTATGACAGAATCGATTGATTGTTTGTGCACTAAGAGGAACTAGAGGTCGTCCAGTGGTCGAAACTCGACCAAAAATATTTAATGTACAGACTTCTTTATTTTCATTCCACACTTTGAATAGAACATGTGATTGGAGTTTCTTCCATTTGTTTTGATTTTCTGTTTATATTTCGTTGTTATTTCGTCACCAGCATGGCAACTCATAATATCCATGTTAAATTTTTCAAAATTTTAAATTCATTTTTTGTTCTTATTTTTTAGCCTATTTTAATTTATAAAGGGATTCTGCACACCTACAGGAAAATAGCTTTCTAACAGTGTGTGTAGATTTTCCCTACGATGCACACGAGCTGAGAAAAAAGGTTTTAAAGAAACATGCTTGCCTATTAATATATAGATAGATAGATCAAATTTCTAACAGCTGTTCTTCTATCACTTATCAGTGACATGTAACTGCTTTGCTGCTAATCAGTGATCTTTCAACTGTTTTTATTGAGGTTAACTCAAATCAGTTTCCGCATTTGTAACAGCTTAGAATAACAGTTTAGAAGTTAGCAGAATTTTATTGGATTTGGCTGTCTATAATGTCTCTACATAGTACCGTATCAGTAATAATATTGAACAAATCCATACATTTAGCGTAGTTTTATGTTGATCTACTGTAAAATATAGAACAGATATCAGTTTATGTTCAATCCTTTAACATATCTAAAATAAAAGATCCAAATTAAATCTAATCTAAAATAAAAAGTTGGTAAAAGAAAGTAAAATAGCAAAAAAAGCGTTTTTAATTCAACTATGAATTAAGGATTTCCTAAGGTAAAAGTTATTCTGTAGTGAGTTAAATAGGAACAGATCAGAATTATTTGATTTCAAAGGTTGGGTAGCCTACATAGAACGGCAATCCTTATCAACTACAGAAAACTAAGACTTATAGTAAATCCCTAAAAAAAAAACTTTTCTGAGACTTTAAGATTCAAGATTTATTGAGCCGTTTGGTTTATAACAATTGGCCAAGTCACTAACACTAAACTAAAATAACAAAACAGAGATGCTTTTTCTCTTGATTTACAAAACAAAATTACCAAAGAGCACATACAAATGTCCAAAGAGCACACCATGTAAAATAGATAAATAAATAAAAAACTGCAAAACAAAACTGTAAAACATGCAGCGGAGAAAAAAGTATAAAAATTAACAAAGCAGAGGAAAAGCAAAACAGAAAACTTAAAAACCACACTCATACCTGTAGGCAAGGCTTAGGTAATATAAATATATGTATGTATTTTTGTTTTCTTGATTTCTTTCTAATTCATTGTGTGGGTATCTGAATTCCAAAACTCCTGCAAGGAGTAAAATGGGTTTGCCACCAACCAATCTTTAACACACCTTGCAAAAGCTTTTGCAGGTTTCCTTCTTACTTGCAGAGGTATGGTGTTAAAATACCCCCGCCGCAGCAAACCTGCCGTCTAAGCGAATTTCCATTTGGCCGAATTGATTTTCAATTGATCTATTTAAATAACATTATTAGGTTTAACAAGTACCTAGGTTTGCTGCTACAAGGAAACTAATAAAGTAGTGTGTTTATAGTAAAATATTGATAGCTTACTATAAAATAAATAAATTTGCCAAGTTTGATCAAAATATATCCATAAACAAGCAAACTACAACATTTTACAATATTCTCCATAAGAATAACATGGGAATTTTAAATTTCCCATTTTTTTAGTTTTCTCCGTAACCAATAACCGTACAAAAACACTTTGATATACTGAATTGTTTGTCTTTTTAAGCTCTTTAAGAAGGTTTAGAGAAAAATTGGTAAATTTTGTGTTTTGAGGGTAAAAAGTGAGAAAAACCAATTTTTACCCCATAAAACCCCCCATAAAACCCTGTTCCCATGGTCCGATCATGCTGGATCGCGAACTCATTCAAGTTTATCCCGCCTTACACCTTCAAACCAAATTTCATCAAAATCGGATAAAAATTACTCAAGTTATCGTGTTCACGGACACATATATATATATATAAATCTATATATATACCTATATATATATATATATATACATATATAAAAATTTGAACGAATGGTGTTTTTGGCCTCTGGGGACATTAAAATGAAAAAGTAAATCGGTCCCGGGCCTAAGTCTTACCATGAGACCTACGGTAATAGCTACTTCCCTATAGGGAAATTCGCTAAAAGGCTATACCTGCAACAGGAAAAGAATTCAAAGTTTTGGTTAGCCTAACCCTATGTCTATGTACATTGGAAGAGCTCCTGGTTGCATGGCTATGTACACTACTGTTCAGACACATTGTGTCTTCCTGAGCCTTAATTTCTAATAAGCATTGATAAATATATACATTATGCACAGACATTATACAGTTTTCCATTAACAAGGGTTTGCAATGCGCAAGCTGCTGGGCTCCGCAGAGGACTCTGACAGCTGTTTTTTGCAAAAGAAGAACTTTTTCTACAACACGCGCATGTCCCCAGAGTCTAGTGCCATACTGTAGGTGGGATTGGAAAAAGGCCATATAAGCGAGACGTACAAACTCCTGGGGCATGTCAGCTTTTAGACGTCACTTGAAGAAGTGTATAAAATACTTTTGTTGGGTTTAACTACTGCATATAGATACTTATTGGCACTGTTGCAGTGAAATAAAAATTGCCTGATGCGTTATTTAACGATTACTGTTGGAGTACGGTTTTATTTAATATTAAACTAGTAAACACGTTGCTCGAAATCGAGCAATTGCAAAGAAGTAAAGTAGTTTTTTAAAAACAAATAAAAGTCATCATTATTTCCGATGAGTTTAAAAGACTTTGAATTGAAAAATAAATAACAGCAACTAAATTATACAGCTGATCAAAATGTAAACAATTATGTTCTTCATAAGGATAACATGGGAACTTTAACAGCCACTGGGGCAGAGCCCAAGGGACTTTTTCAAAAATGTAAGGTCAGTTTGCAAATCTACGCGACACGCTCTTTCCAATGAGACGTCAATGGATAAAATCGGTTAAGAAATGGCGGAGGAGTTCAACCGACAAAGTTTCATGTAGCGTATTAATTATATAGATCTCATGTTTAGGTTTCCTCTTTTTTTTTAAATAGACCCTAATACAGTAGAACCCTGATAACAAGACCCTCGATAACAAGCCACCCTTGATAACATAGGTAATTTTTAAATCCTCTTGAAATGATTTAACCCTAATCACATGTTATTGCAAACCTCGATAAGAAGTTAACCTTGTATTTAATTTCACTGATTTGGAATGGAGGATCCTTAAGAATTTACTTGTAGGCAACTGAAGATGTGGAAAAATATGTACTTCAAGATCTTGAAAAGCCAGGGAAATAAATATTTGTATTATAATTTGGTCTTTAAATTGTAAATAGTCATAGGAGAGTGGTTTTATAAAACAATATCCTCTATAATTTTTAATACTACTACCCAAATACAGTCAGGAAATCAGATCATGGTTTTCTGTAGAACTCCAAAAGTTTTTATTTTGTTTAAGATCGCTTGACACTTTGTCACTCTATTATCTAGTGGTCTCTGTTGCAAATTGAAAACACTTAATTGCCTTTACAGTATAAGTAATTTCCTTAAAGCAATCGTGATTGCAATAACAAAACAGTGCAGCATTGTCTGGCTTAACAACCGATAACCAAGCTAACCATGATTTGCTAAAACACCATAATTGAAAGGTTAATGTGACGTAATATAGTCATGAAATGTTATGTTTTTTACAGGAGGACACATATTATCGGGTGCAGTTATCGATCCCATCGCCCTCAATGAACTGTTTCCAGATTGGAAGGAGCGAGGGGCGCCTCTGAACACCCCGGTCACTGACGACAAGTTTGCCTTCCTTACCCAGACCTCACGAATTCCCATCCCAATCGTTAAAGGTGAACAATAGGCTTTGTTATAGAAACAAATAGGCTATGTACGGTATAGAATGCTCATGATTGGTGAATTTTATAAAATGTTGTCTTGTGGTGGCTAACTCTTCATTATGTACATTATGGAGGTATCCTCATTGCCCTTTGTAGTTAGAAGTCTGTTCCACTCAAAATTTCAATACCTCAGTTTCCTTGCTCTAGCAACGAGATGCAAGATGGAACAGTACTTGGTAATAAAATAATATACCTGTTTGATTTGTGGTTTTCCCCATGCTCAGTAATTCCTCCATGGCATTCATACTAATGTTCTTTATTGTATTGCGTTTGCACTGTATTTTTCTGTAGTAAGATTTATCTTGCGGTGGTGGTTTTTACCAATCAAATTTTTTTGGTCCTAAGGCCTAGCGCACACAAGAGACTTTTTGGGTATTTACTCAAGAGAGGTACAGAAGAGCCTTCGATGACGTCAGCTGTCAGATATCCTCTTGAGGGAACCCCATTACCGCAACTATATGGAATTCATCCAGTCATCGGCCATGGTGGTGTAGTGGATAGCGTGTCGGGCTGATAATCCGAAGGTGTCGGGTTCGAATCCCACTGGCAGCACTAACTTTTTGTCAGGAATTTTTTTTTCATATCAGCAAGTTTGGTTGGTTTGGTAAGGTTATGACAGTTTAATTTTATAATTATAAAATTGAATTTTAGGCATTTATAATTTTATTTTATGAACAAAACTATTTTTTGGATTAGTAAACCTTCATTTGATTTTTTCAATATCAGCACGTTTGGTTAGGTTATGACCATTTAATTTAATAATTGAAAAATGTTAAGATTAATTTTATAATATTTCTTAATATTATAATTAACTAGGCCAAATAGTGAAGTAAAAATTACGCGCTGTGCTCTCTACTACAACGCTGTTAACAGAGGAATTTTTAACTAAACTATGATGTCATCGTTGCCTCATTTGTACCTCCCTTAAGTCAGACCTGGCTTTTTTGTGGGCCACTGTCTGGCTGGAGTCGGGTGGACAATCAAAAGTCGTCAAGACTGTTTGGTTGTCGACTGTGGGTGCGCACACGCCAAGACTGTTTAGTTGTCTTTCGAGTGGCAAAAGGATGGATATGACACAAACAGCGGTCGTATGTGCGTTATTGACCAGATTTCGTGCAAGAAAATGGAAAAGAAAAATACTGGGTACATCCAATTTATAGTCCGAGAACCTTGAAAGGCCAGTTTTACCTCTTATACTCAAATTTGAGGAAATATCCGGACAAATTTTTCATGTACTCTCTAATGAGTCTTGATAGTTTTAATATTATGGCTGAATACTCGTTCAAAGACTTTTTATAATGGCCGTGCCTCCACTACATCAATGAGCTTGTCAACTTTTCCTTCTCGCAAAACACTTGCACTTGTCGCAGCTATAACGCACTTCACTGTCTGCGTAGTGCACACACAACAAAAATCTGTTTGACTGACGGACTTTTTAGTCGTCAGTGTGCACGTTCAAACTTATTTCTATGCCTTTTTCGATACGACACGACAGTTGAGTCGGGGAGCAGTCGGTGGGAAAATCGGTCAGCCCCAAAATGGGGGGACTGTCTGGCTGCGGTCGGCCCATGTGCGCGATCAGATTTACCACTATGAATTTACCACTACACTTTGACTCCCGACCACGACAAAATAGTCGGCCGACAAAAAGTCTCTTGTGTGCGGTAGGTGTAAATTTAGGGTCTGATCCTTTAAAACAAAAAAGATTCATATATGTTACGGAGAAGAAAAAAGAGTAACAGTTGCGAGCTGTTCTGTCTTCATAGTGCTTATTAAATGCAGAATATTTTTGGTGCTGTGTAGGCTTTATCGCAATACCACACAGTCTATTTGGTCAATTTTGAGATTGAATAACTCGTCAAAAACTCCATTTTAAAACATAATGCTGATTGAGATAATTATTTGTAGAATAGAAGCTGTAAGTATTACATTTGACTATTGATACAACTAGACATTCCATCCCTATGTTAAAGTTGTTTTCGGTTTATTAATCGTTTTGGTTGATGTAAGCCAACAGATTGTGCTGATCTAAAAAACTAATTTCTGTTGAATACACAAATTTTACCAAGTCAAACTAATAGAATGATTTATTATAAGCTATAGCAAATGTTATCACTCATCAACCTGGTTATAAAAAAAAATTAGGTAGAAAATAGAATTTTAGACACCAGGAAATTCTGTGACTGGCTCACACAACTATTTTCTTTACTCATAAAAAGTTGGTCCATAAAGATGGGATGTCTACTTTAGTTTCCAACAGTCAATGGTAGCATTAGCCTAATGTTGTAGGTATGCCGATGGACAACCATGGTAACTACGTGGTGAGACTGGGTCATGTAGTCAAGTGGCTGGGAGAGCAGGCTGAGGAGGCTGGGGTGGAGCTGTATCCAGGGTATGCTGCGGCAGAGGTTCTGTACCACCCTGATGGTAGTGTCAAGGGCATTGCGACAAACGACGTAGGCATAGCCAAGGATGGCTCACCCAAGGTGACTTTCATATGTAGAATAATATTTTACAGTAGAACCTATCTTAACTGACCCAAAATTAGGGTGCTGCTTGCATTGGCTTATACACCACGAATTTCAAAACTGGTTGACCTGACTTTTTCGAGGAACTCATTCCCGTAAGCAGTAGTAAACTATCATCTGTCTATGAAGGTATGCTTTTATTTATCTCATGGGAAACTCACAACACGGTGTGGAACGTCTCTTAAAGTCAGTTTATCACTACTCTTCATCAAGTTCTGTGGTAACACTTTTATCTTTTTGTGTTTGTATTTACTAGGGGTCTTGTCCACAGATATTTCAGGGTAGAAATAATTTTGGGGGCTAAGCTTTGGATGAGGTAGAGTCATTTATGTTTGAGATGCGCAACCTTTTATGTTTGTCATTTCGCCACAATTGCGGGTAAAGTTAAGATTTTCAACGATCACATCAGACAGTGGAAATTACATGCCCTACTCTTCTGTACTAATGTAAAAGAAGGAAAACAGGTGTTGTGTGCAATCCCTTAAACTCAATCAATAATGCCTCCAACTTATATCCAACCTGGACACCGGTTATCTAAGGTGGGACTCTTCCACTACCTAAGTCACACATTATTAAACTTAATATCGATTGCGCATGTACAAGATTTGAACTTGCACATTTAGAATCACCTCAATACTACACTCGTCATTGCAACGCCTTAACCAATTGAGCTACCATGCCACCGTCAGCTGAATGTGCCATAAACACACTAGCGCTTGCAGGTGAGATTCAACGTACTAATGCCACTCAGGCTTAGGTTAAAGTGTTAACAATAAAATTAGATAATAACTATATATTTGTATCAAGCCAAAAAGATAACTAAAATGTTCCAGTCAGCATTCGAGCGAGGAATGGAACTGCATGCCAAGGTAACAATATTTGCCGAAGGTTGTCACGGCCACTTGGCCAAGAGTCTGATCAAGAAGTTCAACTTGCGTGAGAGCGCTGAACCTCAGACTTACGGACTGGGAGTCAAGGAGATCTGGGAAGTGAAGCCTGAGAACCATGCTGCTGGAAGAGTGGAACACACCATCGGCTGGCCTCTGGTAAGTTGAAAGAAATAGTCAACTTGCGTAAAATCCATATGAGTAAGGGATCAACTTATTTATATTTTCCGGTCTCATTTTCATGAATTAAGTTTAGGATTTTATTTAAGTCTTCAATTAGCCTATAATCAATATCCTACTACAATTTTCCATGATTGATTTTGTGGAAAAAATATTTCATTGACAATATTTTTAAAGTTTTGCTAGGCTAAGACCCTTTTGTAACTCTTTGAACTCCCAGGGATTATAATGATTTGATCATTTGAACACAAAAATCCAATGTTGAAACTGGTTTTTAATGTAGGCTACCCATAGCAGGGTGTAAACCAACTGGGAAAACTGGGAAACAACGTTGAATTTGAAGGTACCTGCAAAAATCCGGGGGAAAATTTGGGTTCTTTTGAGCCATTCCCTGTTTGTTAATTCAATCATTAATAATTTCGAGTAAAGGTGTGCGAGCGGCTCCATTTAGGAGCCAAGCTGAGCCTGTCCTACAAGCTTGAGAGATCGAGCACAAAGTTGGAAAATCAAGCTCGAGTCTAGCTTTTACAATCACAATTGTAAAACAAGTCTGCGAAGTTTGTGCAATCAAAAAATTCCTACATATGCTTGTCTATAGACGTTTCCGTGATAGCGGGAGATGACAATAATGTATACAAACCGCGGGAGGTAGGCCTATTCAGGGTTTTGCCCTGATGGTGGATGACGATGATACTGTGACCACAGGAGACATTGATGATGACCACAGGACCGTGGGAGATATTCTAATTGATTTTGTGGTGAACGTGTATAGCAGTGATAACATTAGGTAAGATTTTAGGATAATACTGCTGAAGATAATGTTTACGTGAATGATAGAGATATTTAACATTTTACTGCTATCGCGGGAGACTATGTTTTTATGACCTTATTTGATCACATTATTAAGACCAGGGTTCAAACGGTAAGAAAACCAATAGCATAGAAACACAAATAAAATACAGTAAAGCTCTTTTACGGAGAAGTGAACTCGTCATGAATTACACACCAAACCTAACTGAGGCAGGAGTTTGTTCTGTAGTACTGAAATCTTCACTCTAAATATACAAACATTGATATAAAAGTATATAAGTTCATCAAACCTTGTATGTTTCTTGTTGCAGGATAAGAACACATATGGTGGCTCATTCTTGTACCATCTGAATGAGTCCACGCCCCTGGTAGCGGTTGGGTTTGTCGTGGGCTTGGACTACTCCAACCCTTACCTCAGTCCTTTTAAGGAGTTTCAGAGGTTCAAGCATCACCCTTCTATCATCAAAACTCTGGAAGGTGGGAAAAGGTAAAAGCACTTAAAATATATAACTAGGCTATTTTGTTAATTGTGTCTCATAACCAGGAGAGGAAATATGCCGGAGTCATATCTGACTGTTGTAGTTGCTGTGTTATTTACCATATGGTTTTGAATGAACCAATGAGAACCGTGCGGTGTTTCCAAATCTACTTCCCAAAATTTATGCCAGCTGATTTGAAAATATTGTTTGATATTTTAATTAGTATCGTCAACGGGTGATGTGGTAACGTTGCACTAGCCTTGTCTTGTGATTGGCTGCCACCTACTGCAAACTTACGTGGTCCCGACAGTAGGTCTACAATCAATTATTAAATTATATTTAATCCATGTTTTTTTAATAATGGGTGATAGTTTAGTCACAGATAAAACACACTCCCTTAGTGGATTTATCATCCTTATGGAACAGCTGAAGCCAATTTCATTGTTAGTTCTGTACGTTGTACTGTAGAGGTCGTGTTTTGTTTTCAATTTGTTTCTTGTTATTTCAGTCATTTAAAATTTGTTTAACCAAATAAACAGATATCATCATAAACAATACCTAGTCTTCTAGTTATATAACCAAACATTAAAGCAAAAATCATGAAAATAACCCTAAAATAATAGAAACAACATTTCGTCTACACTAACGATCAGTGTGGACGTATATGAACTAGACACGAAAAACGAGCTTCAAAATTGATAATGGGACGAGAAGTCTACTTGTGTATATTAGTCTATGGTTTAGTACTATTTTTTAAATCACCTGCATCATGTTTTAACACTAATACCGAAACCCCGGTCTGACAGGCCAACGGGAATTTTCAAAAACGCATGTTGGCAACACTGTTTACTTGGTAAGATTCAATAAGATTTATTGCAGCCATTAAACAACATTTTGTAATAGGCATTGTTACAATAGTACTTAAAAATAGATCATACATCAATTATAAATTTCAATACATACAATATCCTATTAAGAATCTAAACATGATATGTCACTATTTAAAAATTCTTCCTGTGTGTAGAATGCTTTTGATTTTAAAAACTCAGTAATTTTTCTTTTAAATTGGTTTAAAGGTAGTTCACGAAAACAAGTGGGTAGCTTGTTGAAGAAGATATGTTGTATGTAAAAATGGCTATTTAAAGTTTTTGAAAGTCTGATTTGAGGTGTGACCAGGTTGTTTTGTGCCTCGTGTTGTATGGATGAGAATAACAAGAAAATTTTAAGGGGTTGTTTTTTATATGAATTAAATTACAAAAAATGTACATAGATGGCAGTGTAAGCAAATTTAAATTGGAAAAGTGATCCCTACAGGATTCATGATCTTGCAATCCTAGCATGGCTCTAAGAGCTTTCTTTTGCCAAACAAATGCTTTCTGAGCTATGTGTGAACCACCCCAGAGACGCAAACCATAAAGCAGCTGTGAGTGAAATAAACCGTAGTAAGTCATTTTTAGAGTGTTAAAACTCACACATGATCTAAGTTTTCTCAATAGACAGGTTATTCTAGCCAATCTTTTACAAAGTTGTGTAATGTGGTTATCCCAGCTTAGTCTGTTGTCAAGATGGATGCCTAAGAGTTTGACTGTTTTATAAGCATCAGTGGGTTGATCTTTTTTTAGTGAAAAGTAGATGTATTCTGTATTTTCCTCATTGATAGCCAAATTATTGATTTTATACCAGAATTTAGCACAGTTTAGGGCATGATTAAGATCGTACTCAACTGTTAAAACATTATCATCTTTACAGAACAGGGTGGTATCATCAGCATAAAGTATTGATTGAGTAGGGATATTAAGACTAAAGTCGTTGATAAAAATCAAAAACAGGAAAGGTCCTAAAATGGACCCCTGCGGAACACCAGAATTCAATTCCAAAATATCAGAATAATCATCTCCTATCACTACCTGCTGTTTACGGTTTTCCAGGTAGGATTGAATGATGTTGAGTTCACAGTTCCTAACCCCATAGTAATATAGTTTATCAAGAAGAATGGGATGGGAGATTGTGTCGAAGGCCTTAGTCAAATCAATAAGGCATGTACCTGTGACCAACTTGTCTTCAAACCCTTGCAAAACTTGGTTAATTAATTCTTCTACAGCCATTGGGGTTGAACAGTTGGCTCTAAAGCCGTATTGACCTTTATATAAAAGGTTTAACAGTAAAAAAGTGTTGAAGCTGCTCAAGCATACATGATTCAATTATTTTTCCTAAAATTGGAACCAAAGCTATTGGACGATAGTTTGATGGGACATTCTTGTCGCCTTTCTTGTGAATTGGCGTTATTCTGGAGGTTTTTAAACAATCAGGAAACTTTCCTTCAATTAAAGTGAAATTTATAAGATGTGTTAAAGGTTCCAGGATAAAATTAACTATGTATTTAAGAGTAAAATTGGAGAGTCCAAACAAATCTTCACTACAGGAACCACTGAGTTTACAGACCAAAGAATGCACTTTATGTTTATCAACAAGGGTCCATTTAAATATCTGGATGTCAGGAGTATTAGAATATGGCTTAGGGCAGTTACTCAACAATTAATTCAAGATGAGTAATTACTGTTGGAAATATCGTCTAAAATAACAAGTCGTCTTGTGGATCAAAAATTAAGTTAATTTAATAGTAAAACTGATAGAATGAAAAACTTAGATTTGTGTATACATCTTCCTTCATCAAAATATAACAAACAACTAAACTCTGTTGCCAAGGAAACATCATATGTTCTTTTCTAACATAACTATTATGGACATTATAATATGAATATATTATCTTCAACACACCCCCGTAATGTCCAAAAAAAACATTTTAGAAAAGTAAGTTTTTGGTTAAGAGGTCACCATCCCAATGAAAGTTTTCATTTTAACATGTTTCAATGATGATAGGCCCTTTGTTAAAATATCAGCGGTTTGTTCTTCTGTTGGAATGTATCTGACAGTGATCTGTTTCCCAGAGACCAACTGTCGAACATAATGGTATCTCGTCTCAATATGTTTAGAGCGATCGTGGAACATTGGATTGTTCATAAGTTTAATCGCACTTTGATTGTCCACATGTAGTATAGGAATAGACTTTTCTTCAATTGCGCCAATCTCTTTCACAAGACGATCTAACCATACAAGGGATTTACAGGTCTCGCTAGCAGCAACATATTCTGCTTCCATTGAAGATTGGGAAACACACCGTTGAAGCTTACACTTCCAAATAATCTCATCAAGATTACCATTCAAAAATGCTGTTTTAACATCAAACTGTTTGATAGCAAGATTGTACTGAACTGAATAGCCTAACATAGTTCGCATCGTCTTAAACCGAGCTACAGGGCTGAAAGTGTCACCATAATCAATACCAGGACGCTGAGTAAATCCTTTTGCGACCAAACACGCCTTGTAACGAATGATCTCGTTCTCAGAATTCGTTTTCAGTGCAAATACCCAGCGATTATCGATGACTTTTCTTCCTTTTGGTTGATCAACCAAATCATAAGTTTTATTTTTTATTAATAAATTTATTTCTTCATCCATAGCGGATTTCCAATCGACGACATGCTCAGATCTAATTGCTTCATCATAATTTTCCGGTACTTAGTTTGTAAGTATTGCAGAAGCTAAAAGCTCATTTTTATCCCTGTCACTGACACACATGACAGAATCATCTCTATATCTCATAGGCCTAGGTATTTTTATTCCATCACGTTTTCTCAGGTTATAAGTCTCCTCTTGTAATATATCACCTGGAATAGCGTTATCATCACTAGGACACAACATGTCTTGCTCATCAGTATCATTGGTTCCTGGATACACAATATCTTGCTCTTCTTCATGGAATATATTGTCCTGATTACTGTCAACAAGCTGATTTCTGGTCTCATCATTTAGAATTGATTGCCTACTGTCAAGGGGATCATGCTCGATATCATTGCTACTCTCTTCAATGTTAAAGTAGTGTTTATCATCGTTATTGTTTATTTTCTTCAAAATAAAACATGATTCTTTTGGTGGAATGACCTTAACAACCATATTATACAATTGATTAGCTGTATTAAATATAGCCAAAGCAATGGTTGTTCCGTTTTGAGAAAACACCCATGACTTACCATTGTTTTTCACAGTCTGGTGAATGCCTTTTTCACCTGCTTTCCTCACAGAATAAGTTACAAGCAACATCAGGACAGTACCAAACATCATCGAAATACCTGTAAGTCCACTGTTTACCATCAAAAACCATAACGTCTATTTTTCCTGACCCCAAGGCCTGAATATGAACACCTTGGCGAGCACTGTCCATCTTTTTAGGAGTATCAAATGGTTTGTAAGTGGCGAACCAGTCCCTGCGGTTTGTCACATGGTGAGAAGCACCACTGTCAACAAGCCAGTTGTCACATTCACTGAAAAATGACTTATCAATTAGGCCTACCTCTAGATTTGATCGAGTCATCATTGCAGCATTTTGTATCTCACGGGTACATTCATTTGATTTATGTCCTTTTGTGTGACACTTAAAACAAATTACACCTGTTCGACAGTTTTTAGATAGATGACCATTTTTGCCACATGAAAAACATTTTATCGCTCCTAATTTTTGCAAGTCTCCCTTTTTGGAATTTTTGGCTCCCATATATTTTGGCTGTTTAGAACTTACTTTTATTTTGGAAACCATGGCTACTGCTGCATCCATCTCGTCTCTGTCCTTTAGACGTAATTCAAAGTTGAGACATTTCTTCTGTAAAATGTCCCATGTCTTCACCTCCCTTGGTGAGTCGTGCCAAGTCACATATATGTGATCATATTCCTTTGGTAGAGTTTGAAGGAGTCGAGCACACAAATCGTCTTCATTAATAGGCTTACCGTATATTGTTAATTGGTTTTGGATTTCGTCAAACTTTTCCAGATGACCATTCATCCCATGGGTATGTTCCCAAGAAATGTTATGGAACTTATTTCTCAATATGTCAATATTTTCAGTTGACTTGACATCATAAATGTGAACAAGTTTCTCCCACATCTCTTTTCC